GGTCAGTATTTATCTTTCCTAACTCTCAGGTTCAGTAGTTCATAGAACGCTGCACTGATTTCAACTGATTGATTAATATTTTTCGACGCTTTTCGTAATATACATAATTAAGATTGCTTGAATTTGTAATATTTTCGAAGTATAAATTTTGTAGTATAGAATACTTATCATAGTAAAATTATACGATACGTGTTTTAAAGATATTCGAGATTTAGTCGAGGTGTGTTTTAGGTTTATAGAAGTCTGCACTGATATCACTGACTGCTCATATTTTTCGACCCTTTTCGAAATAGAATTAAGTTGCTTGAATTTGTAATATTTTCGAAGTATAATTTTTGAAGTATAAATAGGCTAATCATAGTAAATTATCGAGACGTGTTTAAAGATATTCGAAGAATTTAGTCGAGGTGTGTTGTATTTGGTGTTATGAAATATGGCAAAAATATTAGACAGTAATTTAACTTCCTAACTCTCAGGGTTTATTAGTCCATAGAACGTTGCATGATTTCAACTGATTGATTAATATTTTTCGACGCTTTTCGTATATAATATAAGGTTGTTGAATTTGAATATTTTGAAGTTAAATTTTGTAGTATAAATAGTTATCATAGTAAAATTATACGAGACGTGTTTTAAAGATATTCGACCGACTTAGTTGAGGGTGTTATAATGGGTGTTATTCAAATATGGCAAGAATATGGTCAGTATTTATCTTTCCTAACTCTCAGGGTTCAGTAGTTCATAGAACGCTGCACTGATTTCAACTGATTGATTAATATTTTTCGACACTTTTCGTAATATACTAATAAGGTTGCTTGAATTTGTATATTTTCGAAGTATAATTTTGTAGTATAGAATACTTATCATAGTAAAATTATACGAGACGTGTTTTAAAGATATTCGAGACTTAGTCGAGGTGTGTTATATGGGTGTTATTAAATATGGCAAAAATACTGGTCAGTAATTTGATCTTTCCTAACTCTCAGGGTTCAGTAGTTCATAGAACGCTTTACTGATTTCAACTGAATGCTTAATATTTTTCGACGCTTTTCGTATTAGAATTAACGTTGTTTGAATTTGGAATATTTTCGAAGTTTAAATTTTGTAGTATAAATAGGCTAATCATAGTAAAATTATACGATACGTGTTTTAAAGATATTGGACCAACTTAGTTGAGGTGTGTTGTATTTGGTGTTATTGAAATATGGCAAAAAATATTGGTCAGTAATTTAATCTTTCCTAACTCTCAGGGTTCAGTAGCTCATAGAACGCTGCACTGATTTCAACTGAATGCTTAATATATTTCGACGCTTTTCGAATTTTGTAGTATTTATAAGCTAATCATAGTAAAATTATACGAGACGTGTTTTAAAAATATTCGACCGACTTAGTTGAGGTGTGTTATAATGGGTGTTATTCAAATATGGCAAGAAATACTGGTCAGTAGTTTGATCTTTCCTAACTCTCAGGGTTCAGTAGTTCATAGAACGCTGCACTGATTTCAACTGATTGATTAATATTTTTCGACACTTTTCGTAATATACATAATTAAGGTTGCTTGAATTTGTAATATTTTCGAAGTATAAATTTTGTAGTATAGAATACTTATCATAGTAAAATTATACGAGACGTGTTTTAAAGGTATTCGAGATTTAGTCGAGGTGTGTTAGTTTATAGAAGTCTGCACTGATATCACCTGACTGCCTCATATTTTTCGACCCTTTTCGAAATAGAATTAAAGTTGCTTGAATTTGTAATATTTTCGAAGTATAAATTTTGAAGTATAAATAGGCTAATCATAGTAAAATTATACGAGACGTGCTTTAAAGATATTCGAAGAATTTAGTCGAGGTGTGTTGTATTTGGTGTTAGTGAAATATGGCAAAATATATTAGACAGTAATTTAAACTTCCCTAACTCTCAGGGTTATTAGTACATAGAACGCTGCATTGATTTCAACTGATTGATTATATTTTTCGACGCTTTCGTATATACATAACTAAGGTTGCTTGAATTTGTAATATTTTCGAAGTATAACTTTTGTAGTATAGAATACTTATCATAGTAAAATTATACGAGACGTGTTTTAAAGATATTCGACGAATTTAGTCGAGTTGTGCTATAATGGGTGTTATTGAAATATGGCAAAAAGTATTAGACAGTAATTTAATCTTCTTCAACTCTCAGGGTTTTGAAATTCATAAAAGTCTGCACGGTCATCAACTGATTTTTCAATATTTTTCTACGCTTTTCGTAATAGAATTAAGGTTGTTTGAATTTGGAATAGTTTCGAAGTTTAAATTTTGTAGTATATATAGGCTTATCATAGTAAAATTATACGATACGTGTTTTAAAGATATTCGACCAACTTAGTTGAGGTGTGTTGTATTTCGTGTTATTGAAATATGGCAAAAAATATTGGTCAGTAATTATAATCTTTCCTAACTCTCAGGGTTCAGTAGTCATAGAACGCTGCACTGATTTCAACTGAATGCTTAATATATTTCGCGACTTTTCGAATTTTGTAGTATTTATAAGCTAATCATAGTAAAATTATACGAGACGTGTTTTAAAAATATTCGACCGACTTAGTTGAGGTGTGTTGTATTTCGTGTTATTGAAATATGGCAAAAAATATTGGTCAGTAATATAATCTTTCCTAACTCTCAGGGTTCAGTAGTTCATAGAACGCTGCACTGATTTCAACTGATTGATTAATATTTTTCGACACTTTTCGTAAGATACTACTAAGGTTGCTTGAATTTGTAATATTTTCGAAGTATAATTTTTTAGTATAGAACTTATCATAGTAAAATTATACGAGACGTGTTTTAAAGATATTCGAGACTTAGTCGAGTGTGTTTTAATGGGTGTTATTCAAATATGGCAAAAATATGGTCAGATAATTGATCTTTCCTAACTCTCAGGGTTCAGTAGTTCATAGAACGCTTACTGATTTCAACTGATGCTTAATATTTTTCGACGCTTTTCGTATTAGAATTAAGTTGTTGAATTTGGAATATTTTCGAAGTTTAATTTTGTAGTATAAATAGGCTAATCATAGTAAAATTATACGAACGTGTTTTAAAGATATTGGACAACTTAGTTGAGGTGTGTTGTATTTGGTGTTATTGAAATATGGCAAAAATATGGTCAGTAATTTAATCTTTCCTAACTCTCAGGGTCAGTAGTCATAGAACTGCACTGATTTCAACTGATGCTTAATATATTTCGACGCTTTTCGAATTTTGTAGTATTTAATAAGCTAATCATAGTAAAATTATACGAGACGTGTTTTAAAAATATTCGACCGACTTAGTTGAGGTGTGTTATAATGGGTGTTATTCAAATATGGCAAGAAATACTGGTCAGTAGTTTGATCTTTCCTAACTCTCAGGGTTCAGTAGTTCATAGAACGCTGCACTGATTTCAACTGATTGATTAATATTTTTCGACACTTTTCGTAATATACATAATTAAGTTGCTTGAATTTGTAATATTTTCGAAGTATAAATTTTGTAGTATAGAATACTTATCATAGTAAAATATATACGAGACGTGTTTTAAAGGTATTCGAGATTAAGTCGAGGTGTGGTTAGTTTTTAATAGAAGTCTGCACTGATATCACTGACGCTCATATTTTTCGACCCTTTCGAAATAGAATTAAAGTTGCTTAATTTGTAATATTTTCGAAGTAAAATTTTGAAGTATAAATAGGCTAATCATAGTAAAATTATACGAGACGTGCTTTAAAAGATATTCGAAGAATTTAGTCGAGGGTGTTGTATTTGGTGTTATGAAATATGGCAAAATATTTGCAGTAATTTAAATCTTCCCTAACTCTCAGGGTTATTAGTACATAGAACGCTGCATTGATTTCAACTGATTGATTAATATTTTTCGACGCTTTTCGTAATATCATAATTAAGGTTGCTTAAATTTGTATATATTTCGAAGTTATACTTTTGATTTAGAATACTTATCATAGTAATTTATACGAGCGTGTTTTAAGATATTCGACGAATTTAAGGTCGAGTTTGTGCTATATGGGTTTATTGAAATATGGCAAAAGTATTAGACAGTAATTTAATCTCTTCAACTCTCAGGGTTTTGAAATTCATAAAAGTCTGCACGGTCATCAACTGATTTTTCAATATTTTTCTACGCTTTTCGTAATAGAATTAAGGTTGTTTGAATTTGGAATAGTTTCGAAGTTTAAATTTTGTAGTATATATAGGCTTATCATAGTAAAATTATACGATACGTGTTTTAAAGATATTCGACCAACTTAGTTGAGGTGTGTTGTATTTCGTGTTATTGAAATATGGCAAAAAATATTGGTCAGTAATATAATCTTTCCTAACTCTCAGGGTTCAGTAGTTCATAGAACGCTGCACTGATTTCAACTGATTGATTAATATTTTTCGACACTTTTCGTAATATACATAATTAAGGTTGCTTGAATTTGTAATATTTTCGAAGTATAACTTTTGTAGTATAGAATACTTATCATAGTAAAATTATACGAGACGTGTTTTAAAGATATTCGACCAACTTAGTCGAGGTGTGTTATATGTGTGTTATTGAAATATGGCAAAAATACTGGTCAGTAATTTGACCTTTCTCAACTATCAGCGTTTAGTAGTCCATAGAACGCTGCATTGATTTCAACTGATTGCTTAATATTTTTCGACGCTTTTCGTATTAGAATTAAGGTTGTTTGAATTTGGAATATTCTCGAAGTTTAAATTTTGTAGTATAAATAGGCTAATCATAGTAAAATTATGCGAGACGGGTTTTAAAGATATTCGACGAATTTAGTCGAGGTGTGTTATAATGGGTGTTATTGAAATATGGCAAAAAGTATTAGACAGTAATTTAATCTTCTTTAACTCTCAGGGTTTTGAAATTCATAAAAGTCTGCACGGTCATCAACTGATTTTTCAATATTTTTCTACGCTTTTCGTAATAGAATTAAGGTTTTTGAATTTGAAAACACACCTCAACTAAGTCGGTCGAATATTTTTAAAACACGTCTCGTATAATTTTACTATGATTAGCTTATAAATACTACAAAATTCGAAAAGCGTCGAAATATATTAAGCATTCAGTTGAAATCAGTGCAGCGTTCTATGAGCTACTGAACCCTGAGAGTTAGGAAAGATTATATTACTGACCAATATTTTTTGCCATATTTCAATAACACGAAATACAACACACCTCAACTAAGTTGGTCGAATATCTTTAAAACACGTATCGTATAATTTTACTATGATAAGCCTATATATACTACAAAATTTAAACTTCGAAACTATTCCAAATTCAGTAAAATACTCGAAAAGTGTAAAAAGAGTATACTAAAGTAACTCGTTATTACTGATAAGCTAGTTGAGACGCTAACCCTAACACGTTAACCTGATTTATGAAAAAATATGTCTTCGAAATGTACAGAGAAATACTAAAAAAAGCGTTTTAATAAAGTTGATACTGTTAGACCCCAATGACGATTACCCTAATTTTTATAAAAAAATATGTCTCGAAAAATAGTACATAAAGAGTAAATACTTAAGTAAAGCGTCATTAATAAAGGTTGAGCACTAGACCCTAACGCTGACGTTACACCTAATTTTTTATAAAAATATGGTCTTCGAAAAGTAGTTACAAGAAAATACTTGAATGTAATTAATAATAAGTTACGACCACAGACCCTTAACGACGTACTCCTAATTTTATGCAAAAATATGTTTCGAAATAGTGCAATAATGAGTAAATACTTAAAGTAAATCCGTTATATTAATGCCAAGATTGGTTTCAGTAGACCCTAACGACGTTACCCTAACTTTTTAGTGCAAAAAATAGGTCTTCGAAAAGTGTGGCACAATAGAGTAAATACTTGAATCGTAACTTCAGAAAGAAGTTGAGACACTAGACCCAAGACATACCCTAATTTTTCAAAAATATTCTGCGAAATAATCATATAGAAACATACAAAGGGTTAACTAGTAAAGCGTTATTAATAAAGAAGTTAGCCATAGACTCCAGAGTCTGTCTAATTTTAGTAAAACATTATGGTCTTCGAAAAGTACAAACGAGTAAAGCAGTTAAATAAAGCGTTTATTAGATAAAGAAGTTGAGGACGGTAGACCGTCGTTCCTTACGAATTTTTTTAGCTAAAAAATAGTCGCAAAATAGTACAAAAGAGTAAATACCTATATATAAACGTTTATATAATAGAAGTTGAGACGGTAGACCCTTAACCACGTCAACCGTAATTTTTTATGCAAAAAATATGTTTCGAAAATAGTACAAAAGTATAACGCTTAATGTATAAAGCGTACACAAATAAGAAGTTACGCCTGGACCCTAACGCACGTCAACCTAATTTTTAAGTTAAAATATGTGTGTTCCGAAAAATAGTACAATAGAGAAATACTTCAAAGTAAAGCGTTATTTTATATAGAAGTTGAGAGCATAGACCTAATATTCTATACCTTAACTTTTTATGCCAAAAAAAATGGTCTTCGAAAAAGTACAATAGATGTAAACATTTAGAAGCTCGATAATAAGAAGTAGCACCGAACCTAACGGACCCGTAACCAATTTTATGAAAAAAATATATCTCGCAATAGTCAAAGATACATAATATCTAAAAAAAGGAGACGTTAACCTAACACTTACTATTGTTTGAAAAAGGCGAAGTGTAAACAATATTAAGAATGTTAAGAGACGGAGACCCTAACCTACGACCGTTACAACCTAATTTTATCAAAATAGGTTCTTCGAAAAGAGTACATAGAGTAAATACAAATGTAGAGCTTATTAATAAAGAAGGCTGAGACGTAACCCCTAACACGTTACCGTAATTTTTATGAAAATATTGCTCGAAATAGTATCAATAAGGTAAATGATTAATGTAATAGCACAGCTATTATATTGAGAAGTGCATAGACCCTAACGACGCTAACCACTTTATCACAACATATACGTCTCGAAAATAGTACAAAGAGAAATACTTAATAAAAGGTATACATATAGAAGTGAACGGTACCCTACGACGTCAACCGTAATTTTGATGACAATAAATGTCGGAAAAGAGTACAAAGAGTAAAATACTTAATGTAGGAGCGTTATTTAATAAAGGAAGTTACGCCACAGACCCAACGACGTAATCCTAATTTTATGCAAAAATGGGTCGAAAATAGTACATAGAGCTTAAATACGTAAAGTAAATCGTTATTAATAAAGAAGTTGAGATCGCTAACCCCTAACGATCGTTACCCTATTTATGAAATATATTGCTTGCAAATAGTACAAAAGAGTAAAATACTTTAAATGTAAATCGTATTAAGTTAAGAAGTTTGATGCATAGGACCCTAACGACTACCTTAATTTTTTAGCTAAAAATATGTCTTCGGAAAAGTAGTACAATTAGAGTAAATACTTAATAGTAAATCTGAATTACATATTAAGTCGCTATAAACCCTAACGTGTAACTGCTTACTAATTTTTATGAAACAATATATTTCGAAATATACAAAGAGTAACATTAAATAAACGTATTAATATAAGAAGTTGAGACATAGACCCTAACACGCAACGTTACAAATTTTCTAAGAAAAATACAAAAAAAAATAGAATATAAAGAATCGTTATTAATAAAAGAGGTTAGACGGTGAGCCATATAGCAAGACGTTACCAATTTTTATGAAAAATTGCTTCGAAAATAGTACACAAGAGTAATATGCACGTAAAGTATACTATAATAAGAAGCGAGCACAGTAACCCTAACGACGTATACCGTCAATTTTTTAAAAATATGTTTCGAAAAGTACAATAAGAGTAATAGGTTAATAGTAAACAGCTTATTAATATAGAAGCTGAGACCAGTAGACCCAACTCACGCCTAAACTATTTTTATGCATAAATATGTCTTGAAAAGTAGTACAATAAGTGAAATACTAATGAGAGCGTAATAGAAGTTAGTACTGACCCTTAACGACGTAACCTGAATTTTTATGAAAAAATATATCTTCGCAAATAGTAAAAAGAGTAAACTACTTAAGTAAAGTCATTAATATAGAAGTTGAGCATTTAGACCCTAACGACGTATACCTACGATTTATAGTAAAATTATGTCTCTCGACAAAAGTTACAAGAAAGTAAATTACTTAAGTAAATCGTTATTAATAAAGAGCTGAGACGTAACCCTAACGACGTTACCCTAATTTTATCAAAAATATGTCTTGCAAAATAGTAACATAGAGTAAAACTAAGTAGACGTTATTAATAAAGAAAGTATGCCATAGAACCCTAACGACGTAACCCTAATTTATACGTTAAAATATTAAGTCTGAAAAGAGAGTACAAAAGAGTAAATGAGTTAATAGTGCGTATTAATAGAAGTTGAGACAGTAGACCTAACGACGCATCCTTAAATTTTTATCAAAAATATGTCTTGAAAAGTAGTAAATGAGTAAACAATGTGAGCAATCTATTAATAGATAGTTACAGCACAGACCCTAAGACGTAACCCGTAATTTTTATGCAAAATTGTGTCTGAAATGAGTAATAATAGAGTTAAAAATACTTAAATTGTATAATGCGTTACTTATAAAGAGGGAGACGCTCAAGGACCCTAACGACGCAATCCTAATTTTATGACAAAAATATTTCGCAAATAGTACAAATAGAGTAACATACTTAAAGTTAAATCGTTATTAAAAGCAGTTATTACGCGAATAGACCTATCGAGTTACCCTATTTTGTATGAAATAAAATTATCTTCGCAAATAGTTACAAGAAACACTTAAAGTAAAGGCTTCATTATTATAGAAGGTGAGACTCTAAACCCAACGGCGTAACCCTAACTTTTATGAAAAAAATATATCTTCGCAAATAGTACAAAAGAGAGAATCACTAAAGTAAATCGTATTAATAAAGAGGTTGAGACGCTAAACCCTAACGACTTACCATTTTTTATGAAAAAATATCTTTTCGAAATAGTACAAAAGAGTAAATACTAAAGTAAAGCGTTATTATTAAAAAGTTGAGATGGTAGACCCAATGATTGTTACCTAATTTTTTATGAAAAAAATTATATCTTTGCAAATAGTACAAAAAGAGAAACTACTAAAAGTAACATAATAAAGAAGTTGAGCCATAGACTTAACGACGTTACCCAATTTTTTAAGTACAAAATTATGTCTGTCGAAAGTGTACAAAAAGAGTAAATACTTAAAGTAAATCGTTATTAATAAAGAAGTTGAGACGTTAATTACCCTAACACGTTAATCCGTAATTTTTATGTAAAAATATGTCTTCGAGTAGTACAATAGAGTAAAATTAATTGTAGAAGCGTATTTAATTAGAAGATGGTAGCACTAGGACCCTAACGACGTATCCCTAATTTTTATGCAAAAAATGCTTCGAAATAGGTAAAAAGAGTAAATCTAGTAAAGCGTTATTAATAAAGAAGTTAACGCAAGGACCCTAACGACGTTACTTAATTTTATGCCAAAAAATGTTCTTCAAATAGTACAAAAGCAACTTAAAGTAAAACCGTTATTAATAAGAAGTTGAGATCGCTAACCCCTAACGCGTATACCCTTAATTTTATAGCGCAAAAAATATAGTCTTCGAAAAATAGTAAATAGAGTAAAACTTAACTGTAAAGCGCTTAATAAAGAGTTGAGACGCGTAAACCCTAACGACGTCACCGTAATTTTTATGCAAAAATATGTCTTCGAAAATAGTACATAGAGTAAATACATGTAAAGGTCATTATTAAAGTTGAGACGCTTAGATCCCTAACGCACGTAACCGTAATTTTTTATGAAAACATATTCTGCAAAATAGTACACAATAGAGTAAATACTTAATAGTAAAGCGTTCATTATAAGAAGGTGAGACGTAACCTAACCACGCATCCTATCTTTTATGAAAAAATATGTCTTCGAAAAGAGTTACAATAGAGTAAATACTTAATGTAGGAGCGTTATTAATAAAGAAGTTACGCCACAGACCCACGACGTAATCCTAATTTTTATAAAATATGTTTCGCAATAGTAACAATAAGAGCTAAATCACTTAAGTATTAAAGCTGTTATTAATATTTAGGGGGGGGGGGGGGGGGAAGTTGAGACGCTAACCTAAACGACCGAATCCAATTTTTATGCAAAAGATATGTCTTCGAAATAGAGTACATAAGAAAACTACTTAAGTAAGAGCGTCATTATTACAAGAAGGTATTACCAAGACCCTAACGGACCGTAAACCTAATTTATGCAAAAAATGTAGTCTTCGCAAATAGTTACAAAAGAGAAACTACTTAAAGTAATCGTTATTATAAAGATTGAGACTAGACCCTAACCACGCTACCCTATTTTTTATGTAAAAATATGTCTTCGAAAAGAGTAAAAAGAGTAAAGTGTAAAGCGTATTAATAAAGAAGTTGAGACGGTAGACCCTAACCGACGTTACCCTAATTTTTATACAAAAATATATCTTCGCAAATGTACAAAGGTAAATACTAAAGTAAATCGTTATTATGCGAGCTGCAACCTTCCTTAATATGCAAAAGATAGTTGATAGTACAAGCGGTAATACAGCTCATATAATGTAGACTCACGGTCCGTTAATTTTTATTCAAAATATGTGGTCTACGAAAAGAGTACAGTAGAGTAAAATACTTAATGTAGAGCGTTATTAATAAGAAGTTACAGCCATAGACCCTAACGACGTAACCCTAATTTTTTATCAAAAATGTGCTTCGAAATAGTACAATAGAGCAAATACTTAAGTAAATCGTTATTAATAAAGAAGTGAGACGCTAACCCTTAACCACGTACACCGTAATTTTTATGCAAAAAAATATATCTTCGAAATAGGATACAAACGAATCTAAAGTATAAGCAGATATTAATAGAAGGTGAGACGTAAAAACCCATTACGACTCCCATTTTATGAAAATAATAGATCTTCGCAAATAGTACAAAGATAAATACTAGCTAAATCGTTATTAATCAAAGAAGTTGAGCGCTATAGACCCAACGACGTTACCCTAATTTTTATGCAAAAAAATATTCTTCGAATAGACATAAAGAGAGTTAAATACTTAAAAGTAAATCGCATTAATAAAATGAGACGTTAGAACCCTAAACCACGTAACCTAATTTTTATGCAAAAATATATTCTTCGCAAATAGTACAAAGAGTAAATTTAAAGTAAAAGCGTTATTAATTAAAGGAAGGAGCCATAGGACCTAACACGTTACCCTAATTTTTATTATAAAAATATATCTTGCAAAAGTGCTACAAAGAGTAACATTCAAAGTAAAGCGTTATTAATAAAGAAGTTGAGACGCGTAAACACCAACCACTACCGCTAATTTATGAAAAATATGTCTTCGCAAGATAGTACAATAGAGTAAATACTTAAAGTAAATCGTATTAATAAGAAGTTGAGAGCGTATACCTAACACGTTACCACGTAATTTTTATGCAAAAATTATGATCTTGAAAATAGTCAAAGAGTAATTCTAAGAGTAAAGCGTTATTAATAAAGAAGTTGACGCGACAGACCCTAACGACGTTACCCAATTTTTATGAAAATGATTGTCTTCGAAAATAGTAACAATAGAGTAAATATCTAAAGTAAAGCTGTTGTATTATTAAAGGAAGTTGGGACGGTTAGGACCCTAACGACGTTACCCTAATTTTTATGCAAAAAAAATATTTCGAAATAGTACAAAGAGTAAATACTTAAGTAATGTATTAATAATAAGAAGTTGAGATGGCTAACCCCAAACCACGCTACCTAATTTTTATGCAAAAAATATTGTCTTCGAAAAATGTACAATAGAGTAACATCTAATGTAGAGCGTTATTAATAAAGAAGGTTGACACGTTAGGACCTAACGACGTAACCCTAATTTTTACAAAAAAACATAATTTTCGAAAATAGATACAAACAAGAGCAACATTCTAATAAAGCGTCATTAATATAAGAAGTTGAGACGGCTAGACCCTAATCACGCAATACGCAATTTTAATCAAAAATATGTATCTTCTCAAATAGTACAAAAGTATAATACAAGTAAAGCGTTATTATGAAGAAGTGAGACGGCTAACCAAACCGACAACGTAATTTTGTAGTGCAAAAAATATGTCTTCGAAAATAGTACAATAGAGTAAATATCTAATGTAAAGCGTCATTATATAGAAGTTGAGACCTAACCCTAACGACGTACCGCTAATTTTTATGCAAAAATATATGTTCGAAAAATAGCAAAGAGGAATACTTAATGTAAAGTCGTTTATGAATAAAAGGTTGAGACAGCTAGACCAACTACGAACCGTATTTTATGAAAATATGTTCGAAAAGAGTACAATACGAGTAAATACTTAATGTAAGCGTCTATTAAATAGAATGTAACGCTAGACCCTAACGACGTATACCCCACTTTATGCAAAATATATTTCGCAAATAGTACAAAAGAGTATAACTACTTAAGTAATCGTATTAATATAAGAAGTTGAGGACGTAAACCTAACACGTAACCGTATTTTATGCAAAATATGTCTTTCGAAAAAGTACAATGATAAATACTTCTAAATGTAAAGGCGTTATTAATAAAGAAGTTAGCCACTAGACCCTAACGACGTATACCCATTTATGCAAAATTTCTTCGTCAAGTACAGTACAAAGAGCAAATACTAAAGAAAATGTTATTAATAAAGAAGTTGAGATCGTATCTAACCACGCAACCTGTAATTTTTATGTAAAAAATATGTCTTCGAAAAATAGTAAAAGAGTAATAACTTAATGTAAAGCGTCATTACATAAGAAGTTGAGACGCTAGGACCCTTAACGATCGTACCCTAATTTTTATTACAAAAATATTCTTCATATGTAAAAGAAAAACTTGAAGATTAAAGTAAGCGATTAATAAAGAAGTTGAGACAAACGTAACGACAAACTCGTAGTATTTTTTATGCAAAAATATGTCTTGAAAGAGATGTAAAGAGTATAAACGTAAGGTGACGTTATTAATAAAGAACTAGGATAAGACCTTAACGGACGGTTAACCCTAATTTTTATGCAAAAAATATGTTTCGACAAATAGTACAATAGAGTAAATACTTAAAGTAACTGTTAATAAAGAAGTTGAGACGTAAGACCCTAACGACTGTCTTTTAAATTCAACGTAATTTTTTGCCAAGAATATATCTTGAAAAATACAAGAGTAATCTAAAGTCGATATTAATTAAAGAAGTTGAGACGCTAGACCCTGAACGATCGTTACCCTAATTTTTTAGTAAAAATAATCTTCGAAATAGTACAAAAAGTAAAAGTTAGCAAACGTTAATAAATAGTTGAGTCATAGACCTTAACGACGTTTCCTTAATTTGATGCTAAAATATATTCTTCGAAATAGTACAAAAGGGGTAAATATTAAGTAATCAGCTCATATAAAGAAGTTGAGACGGTTAACCCAACGACGTAACCGTTAATTTTTTATGACAATACTCTCGAAAATAGTTACGAAAGAGTAAATACTTAGAAAGGTTATTAATAAAGAATTAGCCATATAGACCCTAACACGTTATCTCTAATTTTATGCAAAAATTATGCGCAATAGTCAAAGAGCTAAATGTAAAGCGTTATTATTATAAAGAGAAGTTGAGATTCGGTACCCTTAACCGACGTTACCCTTAATTTATGAAAAAATTATCTTCGCAAATTAGTTACAAAAGAGTAAGATACTTAAAGTAAATACGTTATTAATATTAAGAGTTGGAGATCGCTAAACCTTAACATATCGTAACCTAATTATTTTATGCAAAGATCTCGAAATAGTCTACGAAAGAGTAAATGTTAAAGTAAAGGTTATTAATATATGTTGAGTCGGTAGACCAACGACGCCACCGTAATTTTATGAAAATCAAATAGTCAACAGAGTAAATTAAAGTCAAAGACTATTATAAGTTGTTTATAGAGTTCCATATGAAAATACTCTTCGGAAAAGTAGCGAAAAGAGTAAATACTAAAGGTAAAACGTTATTAATAAAGAAGTTGAGATGTAACCCATAACCGACGTAACCTTAATTTTATGCCAAAAATATGCTCTTCGACAAAGAGTATCAAAGATAAAGTATTAATAAAGTAAGGATGAATGACCCCTTACCGAACCTTAAATTTAATTTTGCGAATAATATGATCTTGAAAAGAACAAAGAGTTATAATCTTAAATAAAGCAAGTTGAATAGTTAGTAAACGGTAACGACCTAACGACGCATTTGCTCTCTTAATATTGAATTTTGAATGAGAACAGAATGGATCTTGAAAGAGTACCGAATTAAGAACAACATTACAAGCATATCTTGATTACACTTATACTAAAATTTATCATAACGCTAAACCCAAACAATTAACAACTATATTACTTCGTAAATTTTTGAAGTATGATCAAAAACTAATCATATGTTCACAAATAGTACAGAGGAAATTACCGTAAGCGTTATTAATAAAGCGATATAGACCACGACGTTCCTCTATGAAAATACTTGCAAACTGAGATAGAAGAGTAAATACTTAGAGACCAGTATTTCTGCAAGTTTGCGACACAACAACCCTAACACACCTCACGTAAATTCGCTCGATTCTATGTAAAATATGTCTCGACATAATTTACAACGAGTAAATACTAATCTAACTACAACAATAGTTAAGAGATTTGACATCCCCAACTCATTAATTCTTATAAATATATTTCGCAATAGTAGAGCTGCGGAAGAAAGTTATTAATAAAACAGTAGACGTTGAAACTCGTGACGACTTATGAAATATGCTCGAAGTACAAAGGTACACTAAATATTATGAGAGTTAGCCGAAGAATTAAGACGTATACCTAAAATTTTTATGTCAAAATATATCTTCGTCATACACAAATACAAACACATCTTTGACTAAAGTTCGGAATATCTTTAACACGTCTCATAATTTTACTATGATAAAAGTATTCTATACTACAAAAGTATACTTCGAAAATATTTACAAACAAGCAACCTTAATTATGTATATTACGAAAAGAGTCGAAAAATATTAAGCAATCAGTTGAATCAGTGCACGTTCTATGAACTACTGAACCCAGAGAGTTAGCGGAAACGATAAATACTGACCATATTTTTGCCATATTCAATAAACACCAATATAACATTACCTCACTAAATTGCGAAATATCTTTAAACACGTCTCGTATAATTTTACTATGATTAGCCTATAATACTACAAAATTTTAAACTCGAAACTATTTCAAATTCAAACCTTAATTCTATTACGAAAAAAGCGTAAAAATATTTGACAAAACAGTTGATGACACGTGCAGACTTTTATGAATATATCCAAAAACCCTAGAGAGTTAAGAAGATTTAAAATTTACTGTCTAATACTTTTTGCCTATTTCATAACAATTATAACACACCTCGACTAAATTCGTGAATATTCTTTAAAACCGTCTCGAATATTTTACTATGATATAGCTATTATACACAAAATTATAAACTCGGGAATATTCCAAATTAAGCAAACCTTAATTTCTATATCGAAAAGCGTCGAAAAATATTAAGCAATCCAGTTGAAATCAATGGTTCTATACTACTAAACGCTGATAGTTGAGAAAGTCAAATTACTGACCAGTATTTTTTGCCATATTTCAATAACACAATTATAACACCACCTCGACTAAGTTGGCGAATATCTTTAAAACACTTCTCGTATAATTTTACCTATGATAAGTTTCTATACTTCAAAAGTTACTTTAAAATATTACAATTCAAGCAAACCCTTAATTATGATATTACGAAAAGTGTCGAAAAATATTAAATCAGTTGAAATCAGTGCAGGCGTCTATGAACTACTGAACCACTGAGAGTTAGGAAAGATATATTACTGACCAATATTTTTGCCATATTTCAATAACACGAAATACACACACCTCAAAAATAAGTTGGTCGAATATCTTTAAACACGTATCGTTAATTTTACTATGATAAGCCTATATATACTACAAAATTTAAACTTCGAAAACTATTCCAAATTCAAAAACTTAATTCTATTACGAAAAGCGTAGAAAAATATTGAAAAATCAGTTGATGACCGTGCAGACTTTTATGAATTTCAAAACCCTGAGAGTTGAAGAGATTAAAATTACTGTCTAATCTTTTGCCATATTTCCAATAAACCCCATTATTAGCACAAACTCGACAATAAATACAGAATCACAATAATCTTAAAACACGCTCGTATAAATTACTATGATAAGTATTCATAATCACAAAGTAAATATACTTCGAAAAAATATTACAAATTTAAAGCAACCTATAAGATTATGTATATTACGAAAAAGCGTCGAAAAATATTAATCAATCAGTTGAATCAATGCAGGTTCTATGTACTAATAAACCCTGAGAGTTAGGGAAGTTTAAATTACTGTCTAATATATTTTGCCATATTTCACTAACACCAAATACAACACACCTCGACTAAATTCTTCGAATATCTTTAAAGCACGTCTCGTATAATTTTACTATGATTAGCCTATTTATACTTCAAAATTTATACTTCGAAAATATTACAAATTAAGCAACTTTAATTCTATTTCGAAAAGGGTCGAAAAAATATGAGCAGTCAGGTGATATCAGTGCAGAACTTCTTTAATAAACCTAACAACACACCTCGACTTAATCTCGAATACCTTTAAAACACGTCCTCGATAATATTTTACTATGATAAGTATTCTATACTACAAAATTTATACTTCGAAAATATTACAAATTCAAGCAATCTTAATTATGTATATTACGAAAAGTGTCGAAAAATATTAATCAATCAGTTGAAATCAGTGCAGCGTTCTATGAACTACTGAACCCTGAGAGTTAGGAAAGATCAAACTACTGACCAGTATTTCTTGCCATATTTGAATAACACCCATTATAACACACCTCAACTAAGTCGGTCGAATATTTTTAAAACACGTCTCGTATAATTTTACTATGATTAGCTTATAAATACTACAAAATTCGAAAAGCGTCGAAATATATTAAGATTCAGTTGAAATCCAGTGCAGCTTTCTATGAGCTTACTGACCCCTGAGAGTTAAGGAAAGATTAAATTACTGACCATATTTTTTGCCATATTTCAATAACACCAAATACAACACACCTCAACTAAGTTGGTCCAATATCTTTAAAACACGTATCGTATAATTTTACTATGATTAGCCTATTTATACTACAAAATTTAAACTTCGAAAATATTCCAAATTCAAACAACGTTAATTCTAATACGAAAAGCGTCGAAAAATATAAGCATTCAGTTGAAATCAGTAAAGCGTTCTATGAACTACTGAACCTGAGAGTTAGGAAGATCAATTACTGACCAGTATTTCTTGCCATATTTGAATAACACCCATTTAAACACACTCGACTAAGTCTCGAATATCTTTAAACACGTCTCGTATAATTTTACTATGAAAGTTTCTATACTACAAAAATTATACTTCGAAAATATTACAAATTCAAGCAACCTTAGTATGTATTTACGAAAAGTGTCGAAAATATTAATCATCAGTTGAAATCAGTGCAGCGTTCTATGAACTACTGAACCCTGAGAGTTAGGAAAGATTATACTGACCAATATTTTTGCCATATTCAATAACACAATACAACACACCTCACTAAGTCGGTCGAATATTTTTAAACACGTCTCGTATAATTTACTATGATTAGCTTATAAATACTACAAAATTCGAAAAGTCGCGAAATATTATTAAGCATTCAGTTGAAATCAGTGCAGCGTTCTATGAGCTACTGAACCCTGAGAGTTAGGAAAGATTATAATTACTGACCAATATTTTTGCCATATTTCAATAACACAAATACAACACACCTCAACTAATTTCGATATTCTTTAAAACACGTTTCGTATAATTTTACTATGATAAGCCTATATATACTACAAAATTTAAACTTCGAAATATTCCAAATTCAACAACTTAATTCTATACGAAAAAGCGAGAAAAATATGAAAATCAGTTGATACTGCAGACTTTATGAATTCAAACCTGAGAGTTGAAAGATAAATTACTGCTAATACTTTTTGCCATATTTCAATAACACCCATATACACAACTCGACTAAATCTCGAATATCTTTAAAACACGTCTCGTATAATTTACTATGATAATATCTATACTACAAAAATTATACTTCGAAAATATTACAAATTCAAGCAACCTTAATTATGTATATACGAAAAGCGTCGAAAAATATAATCAATCAGTTGAAATCAATGCGCCGTTCTAGTACTAATAAACCCTGAGAGTTAGGGAAGTTATAATTACTGTCTAAATATTTTGCCATATTTCATAACACCAAATACAACACACCTCGACTAAATTCTCGAATATCTTTAAAACACGTCTCGTATAATTTTACTATGATTAGCCTATTTATACTTCAAAATTTATACTTCGAAAATATTACAATTCAACAACTTTAATTCTATTTCGAAAAGGGTCGAAAAATATGAGGCAGTCAAGTGATATCAGTGCAGACTTCTCATAAACTAACACACCTCGACTAAATCTCGAATTACCTTTAAAACCGTCTCGTATAATTTTACTATGATAAGTATTCTATACTACAAAATTTATACTTCGAAAATATTACAAATTCAAGATCTTAAATATGTATATTACGAAAAGTGTCGAAATATAATCAATCAGTTGAAATCATGCAGCGTTCTATGAACTACTGAAACCCTGAGAGTTAGAAAGATTCAAACTACTGACCAGTATTTCTTGCCATATTTGAATAACACCCATTATAACACACCTCAACTAAGTCGGTCGAATATTTTTAAACACGTCTCGTATAATTTACTATGATTAGCTTTATAAATACTACAAAATTCGAAAAGCGTCGAAATATATTAAGCATTCAGTTGAAATCAGTGCAGCGTTCTATGAGCTACTGAACCCTGAGAGTTAGGAAAGATTAAATTACTGACCAATATTTTTTGCCATATTTCAATAACACCAAATACAACACACCTCAACTAAGTTGGTCCAATATCTTTAAAACACGTATCGTATAATTTTACTATGATTAGCCTATTTATACTACAAAATTTAAACTTCGAAAATATTCCAAATTCAAACAACGTTAATTCTAATACGAAAAGCGTCGAAAAATATTAAGCATTCAGTTGAAATCAGTAAAGCGTTCTATGAACTACTGAACCCTGAGAGTTAGGAAAGATCAAATTACTGACCAGTATTTCTTGCCATATTTGAATAACACCCATTATAACACACCTCGACTAAGTCTCGAATATCTTTAAACACGTATCGTTAATTTTACTATGATAAGTATCTATACTACAAAAGTTATACTTCGAAAATATACAAATTCAAGCAACCCTTAGTTATGTATATTACGAAAAGTGTCGAAAATATTAATCAATCAGTTGAAATCAGTGCAGCGTTCTATGAACTACTGAACCCTGAGAGTTA